GTGTGATGGGCTGGATTTTCTTTTCAGTTGTTACTGGTATTTATCTTTCCTCTCAGAGCTCAGTCAGAGTTTATAAATGACTGATAAACTGCACCATGGAAAAGTCCTTCCTACTCCTTTGTTTCTTTTACAATAAAGTAGCAATATGCTTCACTCAGAAGCTTATTTTGCAAATTTACCAAAGAATGGCCTCTAAATCTGCAGGAGTCATAGCTGGCTGCCTGTCTTTGGGGGTAATCAAAGCTGAACCAGATGAACCGAGCAGGCTGTTCAAACAGATTGAGCTTGCAATAGCCCTTCTCTGCTGATTACCCTGTCCCTGGCTTGCAGTGCAAGTTTTCAGCTTGTAAGCCCACTATGCCTGCAAATAAGACTTGGCATGCCCTGTGCTGGCAAAATATTTTTAAGACGTTGAGATCAAATGATCCATCTCTTCATGCATGTGCATAACTTGAGCTCTAAATCATCTGCTCTGCCAAAATCAACTGGACAGTGAAGGAGAGGGAGTTGTATAGATTCCCTGTCAAATATGTAAGGGTAGCAGTTCATGCTAACAAATCTATAAGACTTCATAAGTTTAAACACTTAACTTTGTCTTGAAGGCTCATCCTTAATGAGGTCCTTTGTATTCAGATAGCCAGTGGCATAACAGCATTCAAAATATTACTGACATAGTTAATATTCTCTGTGGGCACTCTGTTCTGTACTGAGCTCTCAAAGTTTGACTCATTCACAGGCAGAAGTAGTGGTGAATGGGATGAGGTGGTTTCTTCAGCGTTGTGTTGATTAAATAGATTATTTATTTCTATGCAATAGACCTAGGAAACCAGGTTTGTTTGCTGCTTGATATGTACGGTTTCACATATCACTCTCTGCTTTCAGTGCAGCAGGTAAGATATCAACACAATTAAAAGTGAAAAATAATCTGTCTGCTCTGCCACTGGTGGATGCTCAGGGAACACACGCTGATACAATAGGTTTCTGAATAATTTATACTCAGCATTTTTTCCTTGCACTCGGTAAATGAGGATGCCTAATGTGGCATGGTCAGAGTGATACTCTATCTGTCATCCATTAAGATAACAAGATTGGTGGGCCTGAGAGGAACGTGGCATGATACACAGAAAAGATGAGATTAAAAATTGAAGTGTTGGTCTAAAATGTTCTCTGTAAAGGATGCTGATAAAAGCAGCTCAGAAAAACAGAATTAATTCAAAAGTGTGATTTCCACAAAGCTTTGTCTTTTCTAAAATAAAAACACAAGATACATGTTCCTTTCAGAAGTTGTGGATAAAAGGAGTATCGGAATAAATCACTGCTCCTGATATGCCTTCAGTAGCTTCCTCTCCTTTAAATTCAAGTACTTTGTAGCTGCTATCAAAAACAATTATGTATGACAGTAATGCTTTATGTCTCACAGAATGGGATTTTTTTTATATCATAAGGCTTTTTAAATTACAAAGAAAAAATAATTTGTGATTGTTTTTGGCACTGGAGTGTCTCATCTCTCATCACAGGGTGTTAATTTGGATGGGATGCTAACATGTTTGCATAAAAAATGGCTCATGTGAATATTCAGCCAAACAGATTCATTTTGGGGTGACTGTATTATAGTTGCTAGTATATTATTTTCCACGAGCCAATAGGCACTAGAAGTTGATTAATTTATAAGTAGTGGTGATTTTCAGTCTCTGAAGTTTCTGACAACTTCTTAACATCAGGTCACATTTGAATTTTCTTGATTTTTGAAGAAACTGTTGCGGTTGTGAGATCAGATGGGAGTCATTCAACAGAATGCACTTGGAGAAAAACTTAGGCTTGCTTCCAACTTCAGTATTTTTAGTGAAAAGACCACGGTTATTATACCTGTGCTATTTGGAACCCAGCCTTGAAAGGGTTTAGTTGTGCTTTTCTGTTTAACTGAGCAGCAAACACCTGCTCTGCCATCTCCGTGTCCTGCACAGTTTTATTTCGCTGCAGAGCTGCAGTCGGGGTCCAAACCCCTGCAGAGGGAAAGACAGGACACTGTTTTTTCAGCCCAGATTCAGGAAGTATCTCTGAGCATGACCCTGCTTGCAGTGCCATCTATAACTTTTGTCTGCACCACACCAGGCTTCTGGAGGCGGGTGAGGACACTGAGCCCCCAGTGCCCAGCAAATGATGCTCCTCGCCCACCAGTGCCTGATCTCCTGTCCTGGCTTGGTTTGGGGTGTGTGTGCAAAGACAATTATAATCTTTGTGCCTGTCCAGAGGAAAATTTAGAAATCAAATCTTTTTAATGATGTATTGGTGAGCTTTTAAAATGAGTTTGTCGCAAATGTTACAAGGAATGGTATCCCAATGCTGACTTGGAGAAGAATACTTGTGAGTGGGCAGTAACACATTGTTGAGAATCACATCCTTAGTTTTGACCACATTACACCATTTTTTCACCTGAATATTTTGTGTAAACAAGTTTGTTTTTATTTATATTCCATTATTAAATCCAGGAAGAAAATCTGATACAGGTGTTAAAAAGTAATTTGTTGAAGAGCAGTCAAAGCTTCCACAATTAGTATCCTCCTCTATATCTTTCACTCTGTGGAGGTCATTGCCTGGGGAGGTTAGGCTGATGAGGAAACTGTCTTCATTTCAACCTGGAGATCTACTTTTTCCAAATTTGTTCTTCTTAAGCCTTTTTTATTAGTAATGAGTTCATGAATGCTTTATACTTGCTGTCTGCAGATGGATCACATTTTTCAGCTGTACTGTGTGGTCAAGTTTGTCTGGTAAGGACTTAGGCAGCCTCCTCTGCTTTCCTTCCTGATGGGCTGTAATTAAACCCTGGCTTATAAGGATGCACACCCTGCAGCTATATATCAGGACAACTGATCAGTAGGTGCCATTAGCTACTGGTTGTATTTTGGTAGAGTACAGATGTATTTGGAGAAGACTGACTCTTCTTTTCCCAGTATTGGGTTACTTGTTCATTTGGGCCATTTTGTTTCTTGCCCCATCAGGCTGGTGGGAGGAGAGTAATGCCATTGGTGGCTGTTAAATCACCTGCAGCAGCACTGGATTCGGCTGGCGTGGCTGCCATAGAAGTTACAAGTTTTGGCTTATCCTCCATCTTTCCAGCTAGAACGTGATGACCAAATAAGCTGGAGAGAGAGAGCACAGCTCACATTTTCTGCCTGTTGAATTAAACCAAAATAGATGCCATAGGTGCCTCACTGTTGTTGTTTGCCATATCAGCAATTACCCCACAGCCAGGCATCACAGGGAAATATCAAAGCAAGAAAGGAGTGAATATTGCCATAAATTTTCTTTTTGGCAAGTACGCAAATGTACATACACTTGCCATACTTGCCATTGCAACAATTGAAGCAGTGGTAGTGATCAGAAGTATAGAATATAAAATAGTAGTGTTTATTGATAACTTAAAAGGTTTTAATAATCCAAACAAATAGCTTTAAATTCTTCTTCTGGGTCCAGTAGCTTAAGGAAAAGATGTGGAAAGTTTTTATTTACCACTTTGATGGTAATAATAAATATCTCTTAAATCAGAGGAGCTAACCTCAGGATGAGGCTTGCCTGTGCAAGAGCTGCAGGAAACTTTTGCCAGAGGTTATGTGATTAAGGAGGCCTTTTTCGGTTCTGAGTGAGTCTGAGGTATTTTCATAACATTAACATCTATAGCATGTTGATTGTGCAAGGAATTTATGACCAGCCCTTACTGCCTGCCCTACCACTCCCTGATCATATAGCCAGAAAGTCTCTCAGTCAGCTCTGAACGATGGGAGTTTTGTCTTTTGAACTGCACACGTATCTCAGTGAGCACTTTAAGGAGAGCCAATTTATAGCTTACCATGATTGCATCTTTAGACAAATGCATTGTGGGCACAGAGCTATCATTTGCGGCATCAAGTTTACAGCTTCCCTGTAGGGTGTAAACATGTGGTTGGTTGAAGAGTTTTAACCTCTCAAGCCCTCCAACAAATATTAAAATGTTAACTATTCTTCCATAATGTTGTGATGTTGACTGAAATTTGACCTTGATGCTTGCTGAAACCATTTTCAAAATCTGAGTGAGAAGGTTAAATAGTGCTGTCAAATTTCCAAATGTCTGTTGCAGAAATACTTTTGCTGAATATCTGTGGGTTGAGCTCTAAAATGCTTAAAGTAATCCTCTTTTTTTTTCTTCATTATTACATGATATTATCTAAAGCTTGGGGTTTAGTGAAATTAACTTGGGTTTTGCCTTTTTCTGTGCCACCTAACCTTACCATTTATGGCTACTTTTCTCTTTTTTACTTGTTGGTGTTCCTTAAGTACAAACCAGACCTCTAGGTGTCTTTAATTTCTGTTCAAGATCATTGTAATTAGTTGATTATTTTCACAGCTGTATCTGGGTAAGAAAAAAAGTGCTGTAATTGGCAACTTTTACAAGTTCACAACTCAATAACCTGATACTGGAGCTCTTCCACCTGCAGAAGCCTCATTAATTGCTGTAGGAGTTTCAGCAGTTAAGGGACCTGGGCTGCAGATTATTTCTCTTTTGAGGTACAGCCTTCAAACTAGAGAGTCTCTGCAGTAACAAAAATAGATGGAACCTTCAGGCTGAGTGAGTCTGTTTGTTATTGGATGAGTGTCTGACTTCCAAGTGGATCTGTTAGGAAGGCTGTTGTTTACCCAACTCATTACTTACATTCATAAGCTCAAACAATTTTTAGTTGAACTTTTTTGTAAAATCTAGGACTTCATTTCCTGAATGCTCTTACTAGTTCTAGCTTTGTTTATTTTGGCCTTAGGTTGCATTAGATAATTAGTTTTTATTTAGGAGATGAGTCTTATGTTGCAACAAACAGTACTAAATTATAGTAAGACTGAGTCTTTAAAGATGCCATATTCCAGCCATAACTTTGAATTAGTTTTGTTACTTTAAAGCAACATTTGTGCCTGTCTCTATGGTCTATGGAAAGCTCAGAAGCTTACTTGATTTCTTTTTTTCTTGATTCCAGGGCTTTTTCCGCAGGAGTATCCAGAAGAACATGGTTTACACATGTCACAGAGATAAAAACTGTGTTATCAATAAAGTTACCAGAAATCGCTGCCAGTACTGCAGACTACAGAAGTGCTTTGAAGTGGGAATGTCCAAAGAATGTAAGTTGTCTCAGAAACAATTTATTGTTTGTCACATCCTACATATATGTGGCAGTCCTAAGGGAAAAAATTACTATGTATTTATGTGATTGAAGCCAGTATCTGCATTCATATGGAGGGAAAGGAGTATGAATTTGGTACACAGCTTTAGACCTGTATTTACAGAATTCTGAGTCCTTAACACTGCAGCCTAAAAGCTATGTGTTCTTACTGTCTGGACCCCATCTGAAAGGTGAAACGACCTGGCAAATACTTTTCTCTAAACCTGCAAAGCCAGTAAACCTGACTATGCAAAGCACACCAAAATCCCAAAGGATTTTCCTCTTCCCTCTTTTCTAGAAATCCCTGGTTTGCCCTTTAAATTAACATTTTAAAATATTTATGTAGAAATATGTGATATTCTCTTTTTCTACTTTATTGATATCCCCATCAAGACTGAAAATATAGCTAAAAAAGCCTTTTTCATATCCCATGGGGTAATGCTTCTGAAACTTTCTCATTTTTGATTGGATTGATTTCAGTAGCAAAAAAGTCTCTGGTGTAGTGATCTGTTTGATTGTTAAGAGTTTTTACCTCTATCAGCGATGTTCCTGGTGTCAGTAGGTCAATACCAGTAATAACCACTACAGAAATTTGCAGTGTGTGCATAAGAGACAAGGGAAAATTGCCCAACCATTTCTTAACTTTTACTCACCCACAAGAGTTTCTTGGAGAGAGTTTAAGATCACAGGAAAAGAAAAATTGACAATGATGAGGCATTTATGTCTGAACTGTGATTTAAACCGGTTCTCATCCTCAGCATTTTACATCTCTGAATTGTGTGGGGCATCCCAGTAGTTCCCTTCTCTGTATTTGGTCAGGAGCTAGAAGTCCTAAAGTTACATTTGTCCCCCCCTCACTGTATGCCATTTCTTTCTCCCACCCTCTCTTTCCTCTCAGAGAAAGAGTGTTGAGAAGTGGAGAAAGAACCAGATGCCTCCTTTGGACCATTGTGATGTGTTTCCAGCTCCTTTTCATGGAAATGTGAAGTTCTGGTTAATGGAAAGTTTCAAGCTACTGAGGCAGGAGGTCTTAGGATTTCCATTAATTCACTGTCTGTGCTGGGTTTTCTAGTTTACTTGTGTGCCTGAAGTGCACTTCACTTGGGTATAGATCTGTTGGAGTGGACACTATGATGGGAGGAAAGTAGTAGGTAGGCTAAATGCAAAAATATAAGATTGAATGAGGAGGATTTTATTGATAGATATTTCACTGCATATTAAGAGCACAAGAAGCTTTTTTTTTTTTCCCATAAAAACAATGTGATGTAGTTTGGAAGAGAAGAAAAAGCACTTTTCTTACCTGAGGGCTTGTTGGTCTTGAGTTCCTAAGGACTTTATTGCTGACGTGTAATTGTAATCTTATTAAATGCTGTAACGTCACATCAGAGTAGATTTTGGAAGTATCAGCAGTATTTCTAACATGTTAACCAAAGTTACTTTGGATAAACTAGAAAGACTTACTGCCTTTTAGGTGATGGATTGCTTTTTTCCCATAGGGTAGCTGGAGCTTTGCCAGCAGGAATTAAAGTTTTGCTCTGCCTGTTTCTTGGGGTGAACTAAGTGAAATTGCCCTTTGGCAGTTGCCTTTATCTCAAAATTCTACAGGCTCGGAAAGGGGGATAACAGGTTGGAGGGGGAACAGAGGATCCTGGAGAGAAGTGAGGGATGTCCTCTGGCTGCATTTCTGTAGAAGGCATTTGCAAGGGAACAGAGAAATTATTTTAAATGTCATCAGTTTGAATGCAGTGTGTCTTGTCTTCTGGGTTTAAGAATTAAGTCTGAAGTGATTCTGTGTTATCCCTTCATAAACAGGAGCTTTTCATCTCTTAAGAGATTTGAGAAACTATTTTCTTATCTGACCTTCTTTCATACATATCTCTAGGTTTTAACTCTGTTTCTTTAGAAGTTTATGTAAACAAAGACACATCTGTCATTCAGCTTTTTCTTCCCAGATAGAGGTTTTTCTTTTTCCCCCAGTGCATTATTCACTTTTTTTTTTGGTCTTCTTACAGTTCTGTTATCTTGTAATGTGAAAGCCATGAACAAAGGACAGAAAAAAAGTATCAGAGAAATCTCACAGGGAAACAAGCCTACAATGCTCAAACCAGTCCCAGTTGGGGAAAGTAATCATGATGGCACCTGCAAATAGGAACCCCAAGGTCTGTTCCCAGGAGCTAAGGAGGAGTAGATACTGGTTTTCAGTATACAGAGTAATCTGTGCTTAAAAGCTACAGTCACGTGTTTATTTGTTCTGTCTTTAAAGGGCATGCAAAAGTCCCTGCATATGCAGCTCCCTTTGAGCTTAATGAATGTTCCTCACAAACATCAGAGGAGAGATGGGAACTGGGTGCATAGCCAGTGTGATAAGTAGAGGTTTAAGAATGGAGGTACAGTGTTTGAAAGAGAAGAGATACTGTGCATTTCTTGTATGCTTTTATCTGGTTTCAGAGAATGAAGTGAGATGATAAAGGAATGCACCAAATTTGCATTTCTTTATAGGTTGTTTTGTTCGTGTAGAGGGAAAAAAACCCTATCTTCGACCCCATTTTACTCCCCAGATCTGATCAAGAGAGGTCAATAACTACACTACCTGCAGGGCAGGAGTGGAGCTATTTGCTTTGTGATATTATCTGCAAGACCTGCTGAAACGGGATCCCACTAGTGTAGGGACCATCTTTCATTGTGTAGTCCCTGCTGCAAAAATTTTGTTCCAGATAGGCAAGACAAAGAGTGTGAGGGGAAACGACTTAGTGATGACTGCCTTATCATCCTACAACAGGACAAAACACAGCTTGAAATAAAACCCTGCTGTCTTTAATCAGATACCCTTCCTTCAGAAACTCCAGAGCTTTGTCCACGAAACCTGAGCTTCAGCTCCAGGTTCAGGGCCTGGAGCCAGTCCCTCCAGCAGCACCGCATCAGGTTTGGGCACTGTTATATGGCTGTCCTGCCTCAGCTCCTGTAGGAGTGCTTAGGGCAGTGTAGGTGCAGCTGAGCCTCTGGACCCTGCTCCAAACCACTTCTATCTCGTAGCCTCCCAGTCTATTTGGTGTTTTTAATCACCACGTAGAGACAAACGGTGATCATGCAAGATTCTTTTTTTGCTGCTGCTGAAGTGAGAAGGCTACTAAAGCTGACAGTGGCTCATTATGTGATGGAGAGCCTTAGGAAACTAACCTTTGCCCTTCTATTATGTGATCTCTTCGCTGCTGTTGAAGGCCCATCCTCGGTGTGACCCCAGGTGCCCGCCAGCAGCTCGCTGTTGCCTGGATGAGGGCCCTGGGTGCTCGGGAGCTGCCGAGGGGTCACGCGTACGGCGCTGCCTCCTGCAATTAAGGGAGCTCACAGGAAACTGGGCAAAACTCTCCGACAAGAATGGACTCTTTCAAGCAGGATGCTGCAACAGTCACTTTGTAAGGTGAAGCCTGCTCATAAAGAGAACCGAAACTGGATATTTTGTAGGGTATAAGGGGGAAGAAAATGGAGCTCCCTTCTGCCACAACTGCCCAGCTTAGCCCAGCAGCTCTTCAACTTCCACCCTTTTTCATAAACTGTGTAGGCTGCAGGGACTGTCGCTGTACTTGATGATCTTTGGGGTCCCCTCAGACACAACCCAGCCCACGTACTAGGGTGTGATGCAGAGAAGCCCTCTTTATACTGGCATAAATCTTGTCTGCAGTGAGCTCTAATAGAGCAAAATTATATTTATAAATATAAATAAATAAAAATTTATTTTAAATTGTTCCAGATTACTTCAGTGCACTAAAGCAATGTTCAGATTTGCAAATCTGCTTACAATTAACCTCTCTGGAGGGAGGGAAGGAGGAAGAGAGGGAATGCAGGGAAATTATCATGAAGAGAAGAGAATCTGGTTTCTGTGCTCTGTATTTGTTGGGGATTTTTTTAACTTGCCCAGAAATGTCTGTTACTCTTTGTCACAGACTTGAGTCTTATAATATTTAAATGTTCATGCTTCTTGGAACATGTGATTACATTCTGCTACTGAACAATAGAGTGAATGGATTTACTTATTTTCATTCTAGTTGAAATTGGCAAGCAGGAAACATCAACTTGAGGAACTGTCATGTTTGCATTTTTTATTTCTCTTTAATTTTTTCAGTTTCCTTAATGAAGTATGATTCCATCCGCAGTGAGTGCCTAAGTGGAGGACTAGTCTGCATAGTGGTATTTGAGAAGTTCATGCAGATTTCATTGATGTAATTTAAAAGTGAACTAATTAGAATGCATCCAGTCTTTATTTAGATGTTAGTCAGAACTGAACTGGAGTTGTTTTATTCTTTTTAGCCAGCAGGAAGCACTGGATTTAGGAATTGTTTCTGCTTTGCTACAGGCTAGATTTTTAACTGGATGCCTAAATACCACAGAGTGGCTGGGGGCCTTTTCAAAAATTCCAGACTAGTTGCCTTGCCTGTTAACTTGCTTTCTCGAGAGGCAGGAGCTAAATATCAGAGTAGAAATCACAAACCCCTGAGTTCTGTTCTGGGACTAATTCCTCTCTCTAAACCCTACAAGCTGATTATTCTGTCTTTCCTTTCTTGAGAGGTGAAAATTATGTCTTTTCACAGGGGCTGGGAGACCTTATTTTGTAAGTGCTTTGAAAGTAGAAAGATGTAAACTGTGAAAATACCAATTAAATTAAGAATTGGAGAATATAGTTAGTGGGGAACCTATGTCTAAGCCATAGAGATCACATATTTTTTAATTTAGCTTTTTAAGGACAGATTGTTTTGGAGATTTTTTTCAGTTCCTAATCAGATAGGAAATCTTGTCAATTTTTTTCTTCAGGCTGAAAAATTGGGAACTTTTCAAAGTTAATGCCAAACTCTCAATATCACTGATGGGGAGATTGTTTTAAGATGACAGCAAAGCTAAAGGGGAAGGGTCTTCCCTGCAATAAAAATCACAGTGCTCTAGTGTCAGCCTGTGTTCTGCCAGTGA